CCTTTGGCTTACCTCGCCGACCACATTTTATTCGGAAAGTCACGTCTGAGAAATGATCCATTATGTCATATAGGCCTTCCCACGGAGAAGAGGACTTAGGAGACTTCCCTTTGCTCTTCCTGGAATTATACAACTACACCTTGTCTCCTGGTACAAAGCTGACTTCAGTAGACTTCTTATCATGACATAGCTTCATCGAATCAGAAGACGTTTTCAAGTTTGAACGCACTTGATGGTGAATATCATTCATCCTTTCAGATAACACTTTCACGAACACTGACACATTTTCAGGCAACCCTTCATAAGGTGGGAGTCCTGTTAACAGATCTACTGGCAACCAAAGTTCCCGACCAAACATTAACTTTGCTGGGGTGTATCCAGTGGCTTCATGCTCTGCTGTTCTATAGGCCATCAAGAGTGGAGGGAGTAAGACATCCCAGTCATCTCGGCAGCTATTACAAAACTTTGCCAATTCCTGTCCCAGTGTCCAATTGTACTTTTCTACCATCCTATCAGACTGTGGGTGAAGTGGTGTTGTTCTGGCCTTTCGTATGCCAAACAACTTGCAGCATTCATGGAACACAGCTGATTCAATAAACCTTGATCTCATGGACAACATTCCTCAAATAATGAATTTATTTTCTTATTCGTGGTAGATGGAGTATTTCCAGCTGAACATCACCCCATACGCCTAACTAATTCCATTTTTCTTGTTTCATTAGCCCTTTGTTGTTTTGTTTGGGTTGGGCTCTGCTACCTTGGCTTAATAATAGCTGTTGATTTATTACAGTTTTGTCTGTTTTTCACATCTATAACAGTTACCTATTTCTGAAACCGTTTGGGAAGCCACAAAAGCCTTTACCTGCAGGTTCGGACAATATGTCCTTTCAAGTTGCACTTTAAGCATCTATTTTCATGTGGTTTATTTCCTCCGTTCTGTTTAACTAGTTGTCTAACTATTATACTTTCAGTTCTTCTACATTACTGATATGGGAAATTGATGTTTCAATACTACAGGATCTAATATTTTTGTAACTTTCAGAAGATGCTGTTAATAGTTTATCTGCAACTTTAATGGTACAAGTATCATCACCAATTTCAGGGCTTCATTTAAAGATGTATACCTACTCTGCTTCAGCCTATTTCTCATATCCTCGTCTGTTATGACATCTATAAATTGGCCACTTGTCAAGAAATACATCCACTGGCATATTTTCTGTATTACTGCCTTGGGAGAATTAAAAATATAATGTTTTAGTTAATATGAAACCATTTGAATCTCATCTATTACTAGCACAAATATATAAGTACAGCAGTTTTGAAAAAGTAGTGACACAATATTTTATTTCCACGAGATAAAGCCATCATTGACGACCACAGTGACTGTGCAAGTACTGATTATATGTGTCATCAATGGTGATTAGTGAGGCAAAGACAGTTTAGCCTATCAGCGTGCGTTAAACACCTTGTAAGTATATCACTCATGATTGAGGTGCAAATTAGGGTAGTAAATGCCAGATGACACTAATTTAGTATTATTTATTATGCTAAATGCTAATTTATTTTTAGTTATACATTTTTCATGATGATTTTGGATATGTTTTGAACACTGCTATACAAGTACACACACGCACACACACACACACGCAATAAGTGCAATAAACCAAAGCCTCCGACCAGGATACGATATTGAATCCGTCATATCATGAGGAGTGTCTGCGCAAGATGATCCGGAAATCCTTTCTGAATCTTCTACAAGTTCAACTTAGGCCTCTTCTTTCCTCTGTACCCTATTCCAGAACTATGCTCTAGATTATTATTTCTGGTGAAATACTCCAAACTTATTGGATGAGGCATAGCAGCAAGTACCAATATTTGATAGTGCTTATGATTTTCAATTGTAAGGTTACTTAATGTTAGCAAAGTTGGTTGTTTTAGGCAGGCAGCAAGATGAATGACTTGTTATCCACTATTCTATTAGTTCTCTTTGAAGAAGGTTTTGAACTGAGCCTGGAATGACTCTGATAGTACTTTCTCATCATAATCTATTCATTTCTCAATTGACCATTATTGAACTGGCCAGCTAAATTCTGGAACTGAATTTGGTAGCATCATAGTTTGAGTAGTCCCTTCAATAACAGGTGTCTCAGCAGTAGTGGTAATAGGTATAAACCAAATAAGTTTTTCTATCCCATATCTGATGGTGGATGGTGTTTTTAGTTGGAATTCATGAGCAAATGCAGAAGGAAGGTACTTACCAACTGTCAGATATAAAATACTGTTTAGTGTAAGTATTATTATTATTTAATTTATTTTCTGTGATTGTAATTCATTGATGTAGAGGCTATCAGACGTTGTGTTTACAATTCATTGATATGAAGGCTATGGAGATTTCTAGAAGGCCTAATTGATAGACGTATAAATATACTCCATGGAGGGAGTATAATTGGCAAGTACAAAAATATCCAGATAAATTCAAAACCAGTGATGGCTGACCAGAAGCAAAAGTCTAGGTGACAGAAGGGAGAAGAAATTCTATGTTTGTTATAAAATGGGACACATTGCAAAGGAGTGCAAGTCCATTACCAACAAGCAACAGTGGAAATCTCAACATACAGCAGCTGGTGCTTTTTACAGGGATAGTACTGGTAAGAAACAAGAAAAGAGTGACTGGCACCATGAATGCTACAGCCAGAAGAAACAGAATCAAGAAAACAAGTCATATTCACCACAAGAAGGAAGTGCCAATTCCATGATTGATCAGTGCACGTCTAATGGTCAGTTCAAGTTAGCAAATGGATCAACAGTGCCAACAGTGACTGGGGAATGTGACAAACATCGAGAGGTAATACCAAATCACAACATGCTAGTAAGTGAAGGATATGTTGGGGATAAGAATGTGAAGGTCCTACGAGACACTGGGGGGCAGTAGTGCAGCAGTGAGAACCAGTCTGGTATTTGATAACCAAATGACAAGCAAGATACACGTGTGTGTGCTAAGTGATGGGACAGTGAGAAAGTTTCCCATAGCAAAAAGTTACTTTAACTGAGTATTGTTACATTATAGCGTTGCTCGTGTAGTTTATAGAAAGTTCAAGGCTTCAGTGAACAATATATATATGTATATAGGTGATTAGCGAGTGCAAATGCAGTCAGAAACAAATTAGAAAATGTTAAGTTAGCCAGCACGTGAGTGAAGAGCCATAACGGGCAATATTTTAAAGTGTTCTAAAGTAATTGAACCCGTCTGTGTGGAATTTGACGAAAAGGAGACAATTAT